CTCCTCCTCCTCCTCCTCCTCCTCTTCCTTCTCCTCTTCCTTCTCCTCCCCCTCCTCCTCCTCCTCCTACCGTCCTGGATACCTCTCCCTGGCCCGACAGGAGCAAGGTGTGGGGGAGCGAGGCCACCCATGGCCACTGAGCATCGCCAACATCGGCGGCAGCATCGTCCGCAGAGGAATCGAAGAAAGGGGCCACGGCGCCTCAGGAGGCCGAGAGCCTGGAGAATCCTAGATAATATTCAGTGGCAACTCATGGGAGCCTCCCATGTCATATTGCTGACTCTTACGACTCGACGCTAACCGACGCTAATCGAAAACAAATCTACGCTAGTCGACGCTACACCGGCACCTTCTCATCGTTTTCCATACGCTAGCGCACGCACATGCACCCTACAAACTGAACCCCGAGGAAGTACGACGAGGCTTCCATGTTGGAGGCGGCCGGGGGGTCTGAGCTGGCTAGGCCACAAGAATTGATGTCAAGAGGAAGGGGGGGTGAAGGCAAGTCCGCTCAAAATCGGTCCCGGACCCTCATTGCGTCCAATTCGTATAGTTTTTCATTTTGATCCGCTTTTGACGGTCCCAGGACCCGAAAGCGGCCCCTGCAGACTGAACAACTAACAAACACTATAACAAACAGCAACAAACCAAAACCTGTCGAATCAGACACCTTGACCCCCCTTCAAGCTGGCCGGAACTGGTAGTGCTCGGCCACCTCAGACCCCCCAGCTGACTCCAACCCCCACGAGTTGCTACCAAAAAAAAAGGTGGTTCCAAGATGGGGACCTGAGGGATGGGATCTTGAGGACGAGGTGCCCCAACCAATAGAATCTGGCCTTGGATCCAGTCCTACTTTGACCGCCGCGGTGGTTGCGAAGGGGATAGGGGGGGGGCTAGAAGTGGATGCTGAAGTGGGTTTCATCTGGCCTACACCCAACATGTAAGTGAGTTGCAAATGCTCTTTTTGGATTCGGAGGATGAGACAACTCTGCTGAGAGGGCTCCGCCCACTTGGCCCAGATCTGTACGCCGCTGAACCACTCAGGCCATGTGCATGCCCCTTTGTGAGCTGGGTTAGGCAGATAGAACCCACCTTGGTATCCATTTGTATCCCCCTCTTCTGGGGCGCAAGCCACCGGGCCACGACTTTCTCAACTGGAAGATACGACTACGAGGGCACGCTTGGGGGGGGGGAGCGGCGAAAAGGGGGGGGGGGGACATCGAAATCCAAGGGGGGGGGGAGTGAGGAGCGACACGATGAGAAAAAAACGCTCCCAGCCGAAACTCCCAATCGAGTCTTCCCCCAATTTTTCTAATCTCGGGTGCCCACACTATCCTCTTAGAACCCCTCTGGGCGATCCAAGTACGGCAGGTTCGTGTCGTGTCGACCCCGGCGTTGGTTTTTGACACCGCAGGGATCGTTCAACCTTGAACGATCGGCCATTTCCGCAACGTCCAATCGTTCAACATCGACCGATTCTGGGCCGCCGCCGGCGTTCAACCTTGAACGCCCGCGCTGGGGTCGCCGCTGGTCGACACGACGCGAACCTACCGTATCCTTAGGGCCCCATGTTCGAACCACCGAGAGAAGACTGGCCGCCGGGCACAGGCCGCGGGCGGCGCTGGCGGCTCCAGACAGGACGGGGGGCGGCGGGCCGCGAAGACGCGCACCTCGAGGCGCCAATTTGCGTAAAACATTTCCCCTCGCGGTGCAATGTGCGGGGTGCGCTCACCAACAGCGGGCTGGGAGGGGGAAAGGAAAGGGAGGAGGCAGCTCCCTCTGTGCTCGAGTTCTTCGAGATCGCGCCCGTGACCGGCCCCTCCCCCCCCTCCCCCCCCTGGTTGACGGGGCCCTGGTACACACGAATAAATACACACAGATAAAAAGATTCCCCATATCTTCCCATATTTTCTGGGTTTTTGTCTTTCCCCCCCACTCCCCATATTTTCCCATATTTTCTGGGGAGTCGACGATTCATTGTCTGTGTGTTTTTTCCCTCCTGAACTGGTCACGTCACGATGCGCGCCGGCGCCGTGTGGCAGGTAGCCGCTAGTCCAAGACGGCGGCGGCGCGAATCGTGACGTGACCGGCCCTCTTCCCCTCCACCCCCTCCAGTCACGCTCGATATCGTTAGAGACAGTCTCTAGGAGGCAACGCCTGGGAGGTCATCGCAAGAACGGGTGGAGGCCATCCAGCCGGACTGGGGTGTGCCCCAACCCAGATCAGGCCAAACTGAGCCCAGGATCAACGACCAGAGCCGGGCTGAACGGGATCTGCTTTCGACCACGGTTATACTGGCGCCTGTACTGAGTTCAATATCCCAGGAGTTGCATCCGAAAGTGAGGGTTAGGAGGAGAAGGAGGGACGAACGAGCAACGAGCGAGCGCCAGGGGCGCGTGCGTTCCGCTGGGGATTGCTATGGGGAAACCAAGAGGTACCAATAACGCTACTCCCCTGGCCTCTACAGGGAACCCTCTGACCAGAAATTTCGAGCCGAATCCAGCGGTGGCGACGAGGGCCTCCTAGGAGGCCTAAAACGGCAAAATCCAGGGAAGGGTATGGATTCCTTTTCCTCCTCTGATGCTTGGGATGCGAGGAAGATGGGGGGGCAGAGGAATGAGGTTATCGGAGATCTCCTGTTCCCTCCAGGGAGGGAAAAGGGGAGATGGAGGGAGGAAAGCGCACTACGAAGGGAAGGGGGAGTTGATGGAGCGAGAGGAGCAGACGACGGGATGGGGTCCGAACAAGAGGCGACACAAGACAGCAAATGCGGCGACGGTCTTAAAGGGCTCCGGAAACGGCAAGGCCGTTTTTCACCATTGCTAAATATCTCTTGATAATGGAGACAGTGCAAACAACGGCAACTGGAAACGGCACAAAAACGGCTCCGGAATTGGAACCATAACCAAACACGATAACGAAACGGCGACTGAACGGGAAACAACAAGTACCGGAACCAGCCGCAAAAACAACTATACAAAACCAACAAACATGATGGACCCACGAACCTGGAAAGGAATATAGAACTGTGAGGCGTAAAAACACGTTCAAGACACATTCTTGGGCGACGGGCAATTGCAATGCTGAGTGTGTCGATCTTGCCGTACTGTGCTAAAGGCTGTGCTGTGCTGTGCCGAGTTGATTTGCGATGTACCCTGCTGCGATTGTGCTGTGTAACGTTGTGCATCGAGTCCTCCTCTGAATCCGAGTCCTGATGGAACTGATCTGGATCTTAAGCTCGAGCTGCCTGAGCACATAGCAGCTGCCCCAGAGCTGGTTACATTGGAACGTGGAGAACTGAAAATCCGACTCGGCTCCGAAGAGAAACGACACGACATGGGGCACAGGCTCACGGACGCGCCACAGGATGTGCCACAGGGGCGCAATGGGGGATGCGCCAGGGGACGTGTCGGAGGATCGGGGGACGTGCCCTGGACGTGCCAGGGACCTGCCACGGGACGTGCCGAGGCGCGTGCCATGGGGCGGCCATAGGACGTCATGTCAAAACAAGTTGCAATGGGGGCGCCGCGGAGCGGGCAGGGGAAACGCCTGGGGACGGGCCAGGAGAAGCGACAGAGGACGAGCCAGGAAGCTCTACGAGTCTCCCGGCGGTAACCAAGGTTGACGGTTTACCGCCGGCGCCCAGTTGGCAAGAAAAATCTCGACGAACCTTTTGCTGACTTTTGGTCGGTTGAAAATTTTGTTCTCGAAATTCAGCAATTCGTTAGAGCTCTAGTATTTTTTCTGACCATATTCGATCTTATTCGCGCTCGCCATCTTAATCTCAGCTCGATAGGGTAGATATTTCCACGGCGAGTGGAGTGCTAGGGGACGTGCCAGGGCACGTCACGCCAGAACGTCGCAAGGGACGCGCCAGGGGACGCGCCAGCGCTCCAGGTGACGCTCCACGGACGGGCGGGGTTGGGCTGCGACGAACTCTACTGCGACAAGCGTTTCCCTCGAGACATCCTCACCAAATCCTCATGCTAGATATCCGCCTGGGCGACCTGGACACGTGACACCAAGCGTCTCGCTCGAGACATCCTCACCAAGTCCTCATGCTAGACATCTGCATGGGCAACCTGGACGCGTGAAAACAAGCGTCACGCTCGAGACATCTTCAATACACCCTCGTATTACACATCCGCCTGGACGACCTGGAAACGTGATAACACACATTTCATTCAACCCATCCTCATGCTAGACATCCGCCTTGGCGACCTGGGAAAACACGCGGGTCGCTCGAGACATCCTCAACACATCTTTATGTTAGACGTCCGCCTGGGCGAACTGGGAACGTCAAAACAAGTTGTTCGCTCGAGACGTTCTCAACACATCTTCATGCTAGACATTCGCCCGGGCGACCTGGACACATGAAAACAAGCGTTTCTCTCGAAATTTCCCCAACATATCCTCATGCTAGAGTTCTGTCTGGGCAACCTGGACGCGTGAGACCAAGCGTCTCGCTCGAGACATCCTCACCAACTCCTCATGCTAGACATCTGCCTGGGCAACCTGGACGCGTGAAACCAAGGGTGTCGCTCGAGAGATCCTCAAGACCTGGGCACGTGGAAAACAAGCATTTCACCTGAGACATCATCTGAATTTTGGCCCCCAGGAGAGGACACTCTATCAAACAAAGTAAACGTTTCGCTCGAGACATCCTCGTCGAATTCTGCAAAATAAGCGTTTCGCTCGAGACATCCTGAAAACTGATTCCGAAGGCCCTCTTCGACCTCGTTAGTTTTACCTTATGTTTGATCGATCGGAGATTCGATATCTTCTTTACAACCACAGCCTCAACAGACGAAAATGTTTACTTCACCACCTGTTCTATAGATAGGACATATTCAAAAGCCAGCGTTTCGCTCGGGACGTCCTCAAACCTCCACATCGTAATGTATCGCAGATGAAATTCGCCAGTCCTGCGCGAGTCGAGGCCGGAGGAGACCATCTAAAATCGGGGATGGACAGACCTCCCTTTAGTAAAACGTGGTTTAGTGAAAACGACCTGAGGCCCAAACCTGGCGGGCGCAGGAGTGGAAAATAACGGCCAAGGCGCCCTCTCGAGAACCGAAAACGGACAATTCACTAATCGACGTGTCACTGTTGGGGGTTCTGTCCACCCCCGATAAAAGAGAACCCTGGGCCCACGCCCTCTCCGGGAAGAGCGGCCCTGTCGCTTCCAAGGCCCAGGGCCCCCTAAGGTGACGATGGAAAACCGCACTGAGAGACACAGTCAACTCAGCTGCTGCTGCTCGTCCCTCCTCTCAACCAGGCGAGCGTCTCGATGGAGAGAGCAAGCGCTGAAGGATCGAAGCCATGGCGATCGCGGACACAAGCGAGGATACACTGCAAACCTGCGTAATCTGGAAGAGGCCTGGGGATGGACAGATGGAGAGGGAGGATGCACGAGGACGAAAAGGAGCGGGTCGGCTAAGGTCGCCGCGGCCAGCTGCAGACGAATGACCAGCTTTTGCCAGTATGTATGCCGCAGCCGCAGCGGTCCCGTTGGGGAAAAAGCGCATCTGGCAGCAGAGGATGACTAAAATATTTCCTGGTCGTGGGAGGGAAACATGTCCACAGCCACAGCCACGCGGTCCAGATTCCGAGGCCCCGCGGCAGAGAGCGAGTTTGCGCGAAAGCCCCGCGCGTAGCCTCAGAAAGCCCAGGGTGCCCTGTGGACCAATCCCCCCCGAAAACAACGGACACCCTTCAACAACCCTCCCGAAACCCTTCGTACAGCCTGCCGGAACCACTCCCAGGGGGGGTCCAGAGGGTTTCAGGAGGGCTCCGGCTGTTTTCAAGGGAAACCAATCCCTAGCGAACCCTGGATTTTTTAAACGGATCGCAACCCCGCGATCCGGGGAACGACACATGATCGACCCACGAACCCGGAAAGAAAAATAGAACTGTAAGGCATGGCAACGTTTCAAAGACACCTGATTGGGCGACGGGCAAATGCAATGCTGAGTGCATCGATCTTGATGTACCGTTCCGAAGGCTGTGCTGTGCTGCGCCGTGCTGGATTGCGATGTGCCATGCCACGATTGTGCTGTATAGCGTTATGGATCGAGTCCTCCTTTGCATCAGAGTCCTGACCGAACTGATCTGGATCTTAAGCTCGAGCTGCATGAGCACATAGTAGCTGCCCCAGAACTAATTGACAAGGGGACATGCCAGGAGGACGCGCCGCGGAACGTCCCAAGGGACGCGCCAGGCGACGTGCCAGGGGACGTGCCGTGGGCACGCACCGCGGGACGTGCCAAAGGGGACGCGCTACGGAACGTGCCAGCGGACGTGCCACGGGACGTGCCAGGCGACGCGCCGCGCGACGTGCCACGGGGGACTCGCCAGGGGGGCTCGCCACGGGATGCGCCCCACGGAACGTGCCAAATTGCCATGCTGGATGTGCCGACTCTGATGTACCGTGCCGAGGGCTGTGCTGTGCTGCGCCGTGCTGAACTGCGACGTGCCACGCCGCGATTGTGCTCTATAGCGTTGTGGATCGAGTCCTCCTGCGCATCCGAGTCCTGACCGAGCTGATCTGGGTCTCAAGCTCGAGCTGCCTAAGTACATAATAGCTGCCGCAGAGCTACTCGACAGAGGAACATGCCAAGAGGACGCGCCGCGGAACGGCCCAAGGGACGCGCCAGGCGACGTGCCAAGGGACGTGCCATGGGGACGCAACGCGGGACGTGCCGAAAGGACGCGCTACGGAACGTGCCAATGGACGTGCCACGGGACGTGCCAAGGGACGCGCAGCGCGACGTGCCAGGGGGGCTCGCCACGGGATGCGCCAAAGTTGCAATGCTGGATGTATCGACTTTGATGTACCGTTCCGAGGGCTGTGCTATGCTACGCCGTGCTGAACTGCGATGTGCAACGCCGTGATTGTGCTCTATAGTGTTGTGGATCGAGTCCTCCTTCGCATCCGAGCCCGCGGAACGGCCCAAGGGACGCGCCAGGCGACGTGCCAGGGGACGTGCCATGGGGACGCACCGCGGGACGTGCCAAAGGGACGCGCTACGGAACGTGCCAACGGACGTGCCACGGGACGTGCAAAGGGACGTACAACGCGACGTGCCACAGGGACTCGCCACGGGACGCGCAACGGAACGTGCCAGGAACGTACCAAATTGCAATGCTGAATGTATCGATTTTGATGTACCGTGCCGAGGGCTGTGCTGTGCTGCGCCATGCTGAACTGCGATGTGCCACGCCGCGATTGTGCTCTATAGCGTTGTGGATCGAGTCCTCCTTCGCATCCGAGTCCTGACCGAACTGATCTGCACAGTGTAGCTAACCCAGACCTACTCGACAAGCGGACATGCTAGGAGGACGCGCCGCGGAACGTCCCAAGGGACGCGCCAGGAGACGTGCCAGGGGGACGCACCGCAGGACGTGCCAAGGGGACGCGCTACGAACGTGACAATGGACATGCCACGGGACGTGCCAGGGGACGCGCCGCGCGACGTGCCAAGGGGACTCGCCACGGGACTCGCCACGGAACGTGCCAAGTTGCAATGCTCGATCTTGATCTACCGTGCCGAAAGCTGTGCTGGAGCCTCCTAGGGCGTTAGGAACCCATGTGTTTTTGCGCTTCTCCCGCCCTAGGGCGTCAGAAACCCATGTGTTTTTGCGCTTCTCCCGCCCTGGGGCGTGAGGTAACCATATGTTGTCATACTTCTCCCGCCCAGGGGCGTTAGGAACCTATGTGTATGTCCTCGCTTCTCCCGCCCTGGTGCGCTAGGAACCATGTGTCCTCACGTTTCTCCCGCCCTGGGGCGTTAGGAACCAATGTGTTTTCACGCTTGAACCGCCCTGTGGCGTTAGGAACCCATGTGTGTTCACGCTTCTCGGGCCTCCTAGGGCGCCCTGGGGTGCGGGCGAAAGCGAAAAGCGCTCCCCGAATACATATCCCAATGCAGAACATACGTTAAACAAGCATTTGACCTGAGACATCCTCTGAAGTTTGGCCCCCAGGAGAGAGGAACAATCTATAACACAAAACACGCATTTCGCTCGAATCGCAATGCCATCCCTGTATGTGTTCGGGTAGCGCCTTTCGGCCCCCCGTGCGTTTCCTTATAATTCGGCGTTGGGCCCGACGCCATCTCAGATACCCCATTGGGTGGCCTGTACACGTAAAAACACGTGGATCCAGCTCTGGGCAACCATGTTAGATACCCCCCCTGGGTGGCCTCGACACGTTAATACACATGGTTATTGCTCGGGGCAATCATGTTAGATACCCCCCTGGGTGACCTGGACACGTAAAAACGCGTGGTTCCAGCTCGGTACAACCATGTTAGATACCCCCCTGGGTGACCTGGGCCCTCCTGGGGCCTCCTGGAGAAGGCCAATCTATAGGAACATGTGTAAGAACACACGGATCCGTGCCCCTGGAGAGGGCCAATCTATGGGAACACACGTAAAAACATACGAACTCGTGCCCCTGACCAAAATGTGTTCCGCACCCTGTGTTTTATCGATCGGAATTTCAACAATCAGCGTTTCGCTGGGGACTTCCTCAATGTTTGATTCGCCTGCGCTACGCGACCTCGTTATTCCTCGCAAAAGAAATTTGACGGCGCCACGCAAGCAAGGCCCGGCACAGAGTTTACCCACTAAAAGAGAGCCCTGGGCCCATGTCGGCGGTGGACAAACCTCCCTTTAGTAAACCTCCTTTAGTGAAAACGACCCAAGACCGAAACCGACGGACCTAGACCTGCAAAAATGACGGCCGCGACGCCCTCTCGCGAACCGAAAACGGCCAATTCATAGGAGGTCGATCAATCTCCGACCATGCCCTTTCCAGGAAAAAACTGCATCGACATGTGCTTTCGGAGGTCCGCGCGCATCTCTGGGATTGGCGCTGGAACCCCCTCCCTGGCGCGCTCCGCGCGCCAGGGGCGGCGGCGGATGGCGCCCCCAGGGTGTTGCAGCGCAGATCTAAGAAATTCGCGCGGAGCGCCGAAAGTCGACGTGTGTACATTCGTTGTTTCGTCGAGGGATGGGTCGGCGTAAGGGGGACGAGCAGGGCTGAACCTAAACGGTGTTTTTCGTTTTCGTTTGCTTTCGTTTTCCTTCGTTTTGTATTCAATCCACCTCTACCGCCAAACGAAGTCGAAGCGAAAACGTTCCACGAAATCGCCAAAACACCGTTTAGGTCCAGCCCTGGGGACGAGTGCTCTAACACTATCCCTGGGTGCGTGGGTCAAATGGGATGCCGAATCCTGCTTGTCTGTTGTGATTGTTTTGTTATCTAGTGTTTCTTGTCGACGACGTCCCTCCCGCGACCCACTCCGTCACCCACTCACGACCCCCCCCGTGCCCCACCCCGCGTCCCACCCACACTGCGTTCACTACAATCGAAACGCTGCCATAAGGAACCCCAAATAAGGAATCGAGCCCCCTTTTTCCATAAGTTAAACTTTGATTTCCCATCGAAGACCTAAGGGAAACCTCAGACAAGCTGTAAACGGTTAAGGGACACTGAGCCCTTCCCCAACGAAAATGGTTCCTTCTCCACGGGCCCGACTGTAGGCATCGGTGCCTGAGGCGGGCTCGTTTACGTGGTGTGAAAGGTCTGCGCCTGCGGCGGGCTTCGTGAATCTGCCTTCGAGTCTCGCAGAGTGCCGACGATCCTCCCCCCTCCGCCCCATCATTCGTGTTCGCATCTGCGGGGGATATGGTCCATTCTCCTCTTCCGGGGCATCCGGATCGCAAGGACGTGGAACGTTTGGACATGTTCGTCACTCGCGGAGCGAGCGGACGGTCTGGGCCCTCAGCATGCGGCTACCAGCGGGTGGCTGCTCTGAGTGTCCACGGCCTCCTGCAATGCTGGGCGGCCGAGGCAGAAGGGCGACGACGACGACGACGACGATGGCGACGACGACGACGGACGGACAACGACGACGCGACATCGACGACGACGGGTGACGACGACGACGACGGACGACGGACGGCGGACGACGGAGACAGCGTCGGCGTCGGCGACGGAAACGACGACGACGACGCGGCGACGAGAGGAAGAATACCACTCCACGACTGACGACCCTGGTCGACCGACCAACGCTCGATACGAAGAAGAATGCACGAATGACTGGCAACGGGCGTCGCGACAAATTTGCCATTAGAGCATTTCCAGCTACGCCCAGTTACACCTGGATGCACCTACTTGCATCCAATTGCACCCAGAATTACATGTGCCTACACATAGTTAGTCAGTTACACGTGTTACATGTGGTAGTGCACAGTTACGCCAAGCTGCACACATATCATGCAGGTTTTTTTCCACATGGTCCGCACCCGCACCACACTCGCACGCCATACTTCAAGCAACGTGCTGTTTGATGTATGTTTGTTCCGAATCGGAGCTCTACTGCATCAGCTGTGCTGTGAGAAGGTGGCTGGTCTCATTGCGTCGGAGTTTCTCCGATGTACCAGCGCCTCGGCGTAGGCCGCAGTGAGAGTAGCTTATGGGTGGCGAGCAGTGCGAGGCAGACCACACAGCCGATCACAGCAATGACAATGCCGGAGGCCATAGATTCGATATTCTCGGTCATGGTCGGCTTTGCCGCCGTCTCAATGCTGGTGATCATAGTGGTCGTCGTCGCCATGTTCGCGTGAGGCGTGGTCGATGACGCCGTGGTGAAAGTGGTAGCGTTGCCCGTGGCCGCGGTGAAAGCGGCTGCGGAAGTGGTCGTCTGCGGCGTCGTGGAGAAAGCTGAAGATTTGAAACTGGGCAGGCCGAAGACGTATGCGGAGCCCGAGCTGTCGCCGTTGTCGTCGTCGCCCCATGCTCCCACCACCACGCGGGCCCCGTCGGAGCTCAGGCCCAAAGACCGGCCGAATTTGGGGAAACCAAGAGGTACCGACACCGCTACTCCCCGGACCTCTCCATGGATGCGTTCTGACCCGAATTTCGAAGCGAATCCAGCGGTGGCGACGAGATCCTCCGAGGAGGCCCAAACAGGGGAAAACGGCCGAAGGGTAGAGGTATGGGTACCTTTCCCTCTTGAAAATTAGTCCCCCTTGGCCCCGTCGGCCGCCTGCAGCTTCAGCAGCTGCGCGCCAGTGGCCCCGTCGAAGGAATGCGCGGAGCCAGAGCGGGAGCCGTCGTAGTGGGCTCCCGTCATCACAAGAGACCCGTCGGAGAGGGGGAAGGGAGGAGAACGAGGATGAGGAAAACGGGGAGGCGGAGGAGACCGAGGAGGATGAGAAGGAAGAGGAGGAGGACAAGCTCGAAGAGAAGGAGGAAGAGGAGGGGACGAAGGGCGAGGAGGAGGAGGAGGAAGGGGAGAAGGAGTAGAAGGAGGAGGAGGAGAACGAGGACGAATGAAAGGACGAGGAGGACAAGAATGACGAGAAGGAGGAGGAGGAAAAGGAGGAGGAGGGCGAGGAGGAGGAGGAGGAGGAGGAAGAGGAGAACGAGGAGGACGAGGACGAGGAGAACATCTAGGAAAACGAAGAGGATGAGGAGGGGAAGAAGGAGAGAAGGAGAATGAGGGGTAGAACTGGGAGGAAAAGGGGGATACTGACAGGGAAGAGGAGGAGGAGGGGAGGAGGAGGAGGAGGAGGAGGAGGAGGGAGGAGGAGGAGGAGGAGGAGGGAGGAGGAGGAGGAGGAGGAGGGAGGAGAAGGAGGAGGAGGAGGAGGAGGAGGAGGAGTTTTTCAGCAGTTTCATTTCTCACGTGGTGAACGAGGAGGAGAAGGAGGAGGAGGAGGAGGAGGAGGAGGACGGGGGGAAGGGGCGGGCGGGCGGGCCGCCTCCAAGATGGTGCTGGCGAGGCGCAGGGCCCTCCGCTCCCAGAGGCCCTCCACGTGCGGGCGGAGCCAGGACGTGGCCCGCCTCCGCCGCGGCGCGGGGCCCAGGGAGGCCGAGAAGCGCAGGGGGGCGGAGAGCGGCATCACCGGGAGGAGGAGGAGGAGGAGGAGGAGGAGGAGGAGGAGGAGGAGGAGGAGGAGGAGGAGGAGGAGGAGGAGAGGAGGGAGGAGGAGGAGGAGGAGGAGGAGGAGGAGGAGGAGGAGGAGGAGGAGGGGAGGAGGAGGGAGAGGAGGAGGGAGGAGGAGGGAGGGAGGGAGGGAGGGAGGGAGGGAGGGAGGGAGGGAGGGAGGAGGGAGGGAGGGAGGGAGGAGGGAGGGAGGAGGAGGAGGAGGAGGAGGAGGAGGAGGAGGAGGAGGAGGAGGAGGGAGGAGGGAGGAGGGAGGAGGAGGGAGGAGGGGGAGGGAGGAGGGAGGAGGAGGAGGAGGAGGAGGAGGAGGAGGAGGAGGAGGAGGAGGAGGGCGAGGACGAGGCGGGAGGGGGGGCGGAGGAGTAGGAGGAGGAGGGCTGGAACGTTTATACCCCTACGTGGCACCGTAGGGGCCTCAACTTTCCAGCCGCCCAGGGGGCAGGCGTCCCCGACGGCGGACGTCAGAGTGCTTCCCAGGCGTTCGGTCGCTGAATGATGTTTCCCAAGGGGCGGCTTCACCCATCCAGCCCGACAAGCCGCCGTGACACGCCATCCAGTCTGCTGCCCTGGCGTCCTAATTACACGGCTTCTGCCATGCTCGAGCTTTGCCCAGGATTGCTCCGAGCAGCCACCAACACATACATACATACATACATACATACATACATACATACATACATGCATGCATGCATGCATGCATGCATACATACATACATACATACATATATACATACATACATACATACATACATACATACATGCATGCATGCATACATGCATGCATGCATACATACATACACACATACATAAATACATACATACATACATACATACATACATACATACATACATACATACATACATACACACACACATACATACATACATACATACATACATACATACATACATACATACATACATACATGCTTACATCCATACATACATCAGACAGACAGACAGACAGACAGACAGACAGACAGACAGACAGACAGACAGACATGCATACATACATACAAGTATACATATATACAAGACGGCATTGGCGCTTCGCGCCATAAGCCTTGTTCCAGACCCTCCCCAGAACAAATAAATAAATTATCGCTTGATTCAGCAGGAGGGGGCCTCGAGGCCTGGACGGGCGACCAACTCATGTTTCGGATATCCCTGGTGCCTGCTGAAATCGCGTTCGCCCGATGCGTTTGCACGCTTGTGCGCAGGAACGGGGAAGGAGTGTTGATTGTTTTCACGCGCGCACGTCCTTTGAGAAAGTCAGGAGTGTTCCAATGACACGCCGAAGAAGTCGCAGTAGCTCCGAACAAATCGATGTTGGGTCGCTTCCTGAATGCCTGGAGGGTCCCAGGCACTCAGGGAATCTTCGATCGTCGAATTTCAAATCTAGATCCATTGCCTGTCTCTCTCGATCGAGGAACTTCAACCTCGAGCCTCAAGCGTGGAACCAAGATCGTTGGGTCAGCTCGGTGTACTTCATAGGAGAATTGCGTCTGGGCGTTTTTGGAGCTCTTTTGGGTCACCCTGGGGCCCTCTTGGGCCGTTTTGTGGAACTGGGGCCCTCCAGAGAGGCATTCTGAAGCCATCGAGGGCCCTCCTGGGGGCCTCCAGTGGCCTTCTTGGGGGTCTCCCATAGCTTTCGTGAGTCTCTCTTGGGAGCCTGGGAGCCTTCTGGTGGCATGTTGGGCTTCTTGTGGGCAGTCTCGGGGCTTTCTGGGGCAATCTTGGCGCCCTCTTGGGCCGTCTTCAAACCCTCTGGGAGCCTTGTGAGCCGTCTTGGGGCGATATTGGAGGCCCATCGGGCCGTCTTGGGCGCTGCGACGAACCCGAAAGCGGAGATGCTATCTATATATATATATATATATAGAGAGAGAGATATGTATGTGTATATATATATATGTACACACTTATATATATATATATGTATCATTTAGGGGATGGGACGATATGTGCTTCTTCGGGGCTCTCTTAAAGGCCTCTTGGGGCGTCATGGGGGGGTTTGGGGCCGTCTTCAGACCATCGAGGTTCCTCTTGGAGCGCTTTCGTGCTGTCTTGATCGCCCCTCTGACCCCTCTGATCGCTTTGAGTCTGCTCGCAAGGCCCAGCACGGCGCCCTGGGAGGCCTGGAAGGGCCAGCGGACATTTTCCAAGGATGTCCAGGGGGCCGCCGAGACGTCCGAAAAGGGGCGTCCACTGCGTCCCTCGGGGGGGGGGTCCAGTTTAGGGTGGGGGTGGGGGGGGGCTTCCGGGTAATAGAAATATAGAAATAGGAACATGAAGACCGGCCCACATCTCATCTCTCGCCGAGTTTCTTCTCTGCTTGGGTCGCCGCAGGGGATAAGTACGACGATTAGAAGTGGATGCCGAGATGTATCATATCTGGCCTAACCTGGCTTAGAAGTGGGTTACACGTGCCCTGAGTGGCTTTGGATGATTGAGTGACGATCGAAGGACTTTACTGAGCCCGGATCTGTGCGCACTTTAGCCACCCTGGGCACTTGCAGCCCGCCTACAAGACAACATAGGGGGGATATAACAAGAGGTCTTCTAGATAAAGAGTCCGAAACATGATCGACCAACGAACCCGGAAAGGAACTTAGAAATGTAAGGCATGGCAACGTTTCAAAGACACTTGATTGGGCGACGGGCAAATGCAGTGCTGAATGTACAGATCTTGATGTACTGTGCCGAGGGCTGTGCTGTGCTGGCCGTGCTGAACTGCGATGTTCCATGCCGCGATTGTGCTCTATATAGCGTTGTGGATCGAGTCCTCCCTGGCATCCGAGGCCTGACCGACCTGATCTGGATCTTAAGCTCGAGCTGTCCCAGAACTAATCGACAGAGGGCACATGCCAGGAGGACCAGGAGGACGCGCCGCGGAACGTCCCAAGGGACGCGCCAGGCGGCGTGCCAGGGGACGTGCCATGTGCACGCACCGCGGGACGTGCCAAGGGGACGCGCTACGGAACGTGCCAATGGACGTGCCGCGGGACGTGCCAGGGGACGCGCCGCGCAGCGTGCCAGGTGAACTCACCAAGGAACGCGCCAAAGAACGTGCCAAGATGCAATGTTAAATGTACGGATCTTGATGTACTGTGCCGAGGGCTGTGCTGTGCTGGCCGTGCTGAACTGTGATGTGACATGCCGCGATTGTGCTCTATATAGTCCCGGGCTCCGGGCCCACGGGCCCCCCCCCCTCCCCCCCAGATGGTATGGTCCCAGGATTCCTCGCCCCCCCCCCCCCCAGATGGTATGGTCCCAGAGACGACGACGACGACGACGACGACGACGACGACTGCGACGACTACGACGACGGCGACGACGACGACGACGACGACGACCACGACGACGACGACGGCTGCGGCGGCGACGACGCCGGCGGCGGCGGCGACGACAATCATGACGACGATGACGACGGCGACGACGACGATGATGACGACGACGAGGAGGACGACGAGGAGGACGACGACGACGACGACCTCTGAACCACCACAGCACCACACCACATCCACAGGGGGGAGGGAGGGGGGCACCGCAGCGCAGCACCACGCCACGCCCACCTCTGAACCACCACAGCACCACACCACATCCACAGGGGGGGGGGGGGGCACCGCAGCGCAGCACCACGCCACGCCCACAGGGGGGGCGGGGGGGACCATCGCGCGGGGGTGGGGGGGGCCCAATGGCATCAGCATTGGGGGGGGGCCCAAGCCCTGGACCATAGCGTTGTGGATCGAGTCCTCTTTGCATCCGAGTCCTGACCGAACTGATCTGGATCTCAAGCTCGAGCTGCCTGAGCAGATGGTAGCTGCCCCAGAAATAATCGACAGGGGGACATGCCAGGAGGACGCGCCGCGGAACATCCCAAGGGACGCGCCAGGCGGCGTGCCATGGGCACGCACCGCGGGACGTGCCAAGGGGACGCGCTACGGAACGTGCCAATGGACGTGCACCGCGCGACGTGCCAAGGGGACTCGCCACGGGACGCTCCGCGGAACGTGCCAGGCAACATGCAAAGCTGCAATGTTGAATGTATCGATCTTGATGTACCGTGCCGAGGGCTGTGCTGTGCCTGGGCGACCTGGACACGTGAAAACACGCGTTTCGCTCAAGACGTTCTCAGCACATCCTCACGCTAGACATCCGCCTGGGCAACCTGGACACGTGCAAACAAGCGTCTCGATCGAGACTTCCTCGACACATCCTCATGCTAGACATCCGCCTGGGCGACCTGGACACGTGAAAACAAGCCTCTGGTTCGAGAAATCCTCAACAACTCCTCATGCAAGACATCTACCTGGGCAACCTGGAGGCGTGAAACCAAGCGTCTCGCTCGAGACATCCTCAAGACCTGGGCACGTGAAAACAAGCATTTCACTTGAGAGATCCTCTGAATTCAGGTCCCCAGGAGAGGACAATATTTAACACAAAACAAGCGTTTCGCTCGAGACGTCCTCAACAAATTCTAAAAACAAGCGTTTCGCTAGGGACATCCTGAATTTTTAATTCCCCGGCCCTCTTCCCACTCGTTATTTATCGCAAAAGAAATCTGCCGGCCCTCTTCCCGTCAAAACCGGGGGGAAACAAACTAAAAAAGAACCCTGGGCTTGAAGCCCTTTCCGGGAAAAATGGGGTCGGAAAACTTCACCGCATCGGTGATGCATCGGCGATGCATCCGTGATGCATCGGCGATGCATCGGCGACGTCGGCGGTGCATCGGCGACGCCAGCGCGGAGAAAATCGGGCTCTGCATCGAGCCGCATCAGCAATGCATCGGCGATGCGGCGCGATCCTCCAACCACATCTGCTCGGACCCCATCTGGGAGGCCTAGACCTCAGCACCCACTACCTCAAGCCCCCCATCCTCTTAGCACCCCCTGCAACG